GGGGGAGGGGTTAGGATTAGGGGTGGGGTTGGGATTAGGCAATCAGGTAGCGACTTCAATGAGGGGGTGTATAATCTGGCAGGGGTGCAGAATTCGGCACAACACCGGTCACTTGAGAGCAATGCCGGTGCATCTGCACTGCAACTGTAGTTATACGCAATTACGCATGTATGAATATCTATAGGCTATCTTCAGTAGACTTCAGAAGATGCTTTTGCTAAACTAACACAATACAACAAGACGAAGCTGTTAGCTAACAAAAAGTGCACTTTAAATACCTGGATGATGCACTTAAATAACCGAAAAAATGAAGTGTGGAATGTTGGACACTTCATGCACTCAACTGTCACAGATTTAATTATGTAGCTGAAGGGGAGGGGCTATCGGACTGCGATTATGAATGACAAAATAACCTTACATAATTCATACTCTACATGGTTGAGTACATAGTGCATAAGTACATAATGTATAAGTGCATAGTGCATAGTGCGTCATTTGGGACGCAGCTATTGATTTTTATTATGATGGACTACATATAGACCCTTCCAAGATGGCGGACGCGTCGTTGTGTCTGGAGCTGTCGAATGTGGAATATAGATAGGCCTACATATCTATGGCTTGCAGTGGCGACCATTTGGAAAGACAAGCTTGTTCACAACTTCGCTGTATTTTTTTACAGATAAAACTAGAAACTATTTTTTCCCCGTAAATTCAATATAAAATTTGTAGAATATTATTAAGTGATCATAAATCAATCATAAATTAATTGTTAGATATTATTTTTATTTTGAGCATCTTGTCCACCTTATTTTTCTCGTAAGAGTGGGTGCGGCCAATTGTAAATTAAAATGTGCGAGGATTCCGGTGTCATTTGCTTCCAGCTATTTTTAGTTGTACAAAACAGCACGTTTTGCTGCTTGATATGGCAAATTAGTGTGTCTTACCCTGTTATTTTAATGTATTATCTCAATGACGAACACACTGGTTTGTAGTTCAAACAGTTTTACTGTTTACTGCACTTTGATATTCTCGTTATTTCCCTACAGTGGTTAATGAACCGGAAGTCTCGCATAATCACAGAAAACAGCTTACTTCTGCATTGAAAACTAAGGAGGATAAAGCGTGTAGGTCATTAGAGGACAGCAGTGAGGTAGTCAGTTGTTTTCTGTTTTCACTGTCCATTCAGTTTGTCTCAGACATAGGGCAAAACTTTACATTACACTGTTCATGTTACACATATTGCTTAAATTAGGCTACTATAACAATAACAATACCAGTATGTCCACAAAATAATTGTGTATTAAGTACATAATTAGTATTATCTCAGCTTTATACAGTTTCATGAAGATGTAGTGTGTGATCCAGTTATTTATCCTTTACATTCCAGAAAACACTATAACTTTATAATTATACAGTATTTTAAAATGATATCATAACATTTTCCCTTTTGCTTTTGGATTTATTGACCGTAATAATAAGTATTTACTACAGTTTGCACTGTCTAACTTTTTTTAGTGGCATTAGTTTATAAGATGTTTTTCCTTTTATTATGTTTGTTTTGCTCTGTTTGCTGTGTTGTGTCTGAAAGCAATAGTGTAAAAGATCACTGCCACTTTAAACCCCAGAGTTTGCATATTCTCGCTGGATCTTTCTGCTTTGCTAATTATTGTGTTGTTTTCTGGGCAAATATGTCATATCCATGGCGACCAGGCAGGTTTATTGTCTTTCTCATGCAATGGTTCACATAAGTAATTAATTACTCTGTTTTCTTTCTCCCTCCATGTCTCCAGTAAGCCAATCAGTTTAGGGGAAGCATCTCATGTTTAAAATGGCTGTGATATCCAAGAGAAGGTAAACAGAAACCTTGATGTTTAGAATGTTTTTGTGTTTTGAGCATTTCATGTGTGATGTGTGCCCACTGTCTGTGGGTTTATCTGTGGTGTGTGTTTGCGTATCATACATTATGGTTTTGAGCGTTCTGAAAAAGTATACATATTTAATAGGTAATTAATGTGTGAGGTAGCCTTTTTGTGTGTCTGGGTCTCATTCAAATGACAAGGCTCTGTGTCTGATTATTAGAATAATTAATGAATTCAGTGTATTATAAAAAGCTTAAACTCAAATTATTAAAGCTTTTTAAAAAGCATTGAATACATTTGAAATCTTAACAGGTTGCTTGTAATTGGTTATTAATGTGGGAATTGTCAGGGACAAGCTTTGCTTGGGGCCCCGTCCCACAGTGTTGATCTACAGTGTGTCTGTGGAATGTGGTGGCATGTGACTCGTGCACGAATACGTGCTTCCATCTGGACAGCCATCCAGCTCGAACTGTCAGAGCAGTTTTACAGGTGTTGATCAGTCTCAGGGTCCATCTGCCTTGAATATTCTCATTTTGTTTGTACTTTAACTTTTGACCACTGATGAATTGTGCTTGATTTGCTCTAAAGAGTTTATGCTGTGAATGGTGAATGTAACACATTATGCATGTACTGTAACTAGCGGAGAGAGCATTTTTCATAGTTTTTGTGATGTCTTTAAAGGAATAGTTCACCCAAAAATTTACTCCATTCAAGATGTAGATGAGTTTGTTTCTTCATCGGATGAAAATTAGCAGAGAAATTTTGCATTACCTCACTTGCTCACCAGTGGATCCTCTGCAGTGAATGGGTGCCGTCAGAATAGAAGCTTAAACAGCTGATAAAAACAGCACAATAATCCACAAGTAATCCACATGACTCCAGTTCATCAATTAATGTATTGCAAAGTGAAAAGCTGTGTGTTTGTGATAAATCCATAATTAAGATTTTTAACTTTAAACATCACTTCTGGGCAAAATATGAGTCCATAATCAATAATAACACTTCCTCCAGTGGCGAAGTCCATCCCCTGTTATCCTCTCACATCAAAATCCACCGACATATTTGTTTAGAACTTTTTTGAACCGTTTTGGCTTGTATATAGTACTTGTTCTATGCATATTTCTCTCCTGATTCAGACGAGACGACCTTTTCACTGCTGAACGCAATATAATGTATGGAGGACTCATATTTTAGTTTTGAAGTTAAAAAAGTCTTGATGGATGCAGCTTTTCACTTCACAAGACATTAATTGATGGGTGTGATGTTTTTATCAGCTGTTTGGACTCTCATTCCGACGGCACCCATTCACTGCAGAGGATCCACTGGTGAGCAAGTGATGTAATGCTAAATTTCTCCAAATCTGTTCTGATGAAGATACATCCTTTTACTTGCTTCAGTCAAAATCAAAGATATATTTGAGGTTTTGCTGATTTACTGCTAGTGTAGGAGCTGGTGCTACCTGTCTTTTCTTTGTCTCTCTGACCTTGGCTTTGAACCCGTAACCCTTGTGTTAAAATATACATTCATGATTCTGCGCTATGCTTGACAGCTCTCGAGATGTAATGCAATTGCTTTTTTACACCACCACTTTGTAAATTGCTCACTGTAATGATTTGTTATCTGTATTCACACTATTGTGATCCTTGTAAAAATTTCCGTTCTCAACACGCAGGCATGCATAGGCCACATGTTTGTTTAATAGTAATTGTTATTTTTGTTTTAGTGCACTGGAAATGTCCTCTTTGCATGCTTGATCAACCAGTAGGGAAATCTAATATAATTGAGGTTCAAGGTGAATTGCATCCTGAGCATTTCCCCTAGACAGAAAGAGCATGCATACTGTATACTAGAGCAAAAATAAACAAATCACACTGACAACTGTAATATAGGCTTGATTTTGAAGGCATGGAATAAGTATCGATTTAAGCCCTCACTTCATAGATGAAAATGGCCTTTTTGGTAATTTGTCCTGGGTCCATTCAATGCAGGAGGAGGCGAGCGAGAGAAACGGTTGTGGGGTGAGTAAGAGAGAGAGATCGAGAGAGAGAGCTAACAAGAGAGAGAAAGGGACATACTGCCCCTTTCCGAGCTCATTATCATTCTTAATAAGTCTTAAGGAAAGAAGGAGCAGTGAGTGTAAATGCAAGGTAATCCTAACACTGGCCAAGGTTACTGGGGACAAAGGCACATGCACACCCCTCCCTGCTGGTTGCACTGGGACACAGAATGAGCCGTACCCCCAGCAGCACTTACAGAGCCCTGCTAGATGCTAGAAGTGCATGAACGATGCTTCCTAAAATTGTTTTGTCTGGCAACTTGGGCTTTAGCTATGAATCTTTAAATTAACTGGTTATAAAAATATTCATAAAGCATTTTATTATATAAAATATAATTATATTATATTATGTAAAATATTGTTTAATTACATTGAATCAACCTGACTACATTAGGTTAAGTAATGTTAAGAGTTAGATCATGTATGTACTTCTTGCACTGTATGTGCAACAGATTTTTATTTATTTATTTATTTTAATTAGAATTTCATTGAATTGAGGTTGATAATATTGCAATCGGGGTCAGAAATATATGGGGGCAAAATGAAAGTGACAGAAATGCCACAGAAAATTCCTGTGACAAAATCATCATTCGATTTTTTTTAAAGGTATATATTCTAGTTATTATTGTAGATAATTATTCTAATGTAATTGATTAAATTAAGGCATTTTACATTAAAGTATGGCACTTACAGTGTTTTTGGTTGGTTAGAAAAAATGGCTTCATGAATGTAAAAAAACCCTCAAAATCTATTTCGTTGGGAAAATATTGTGATTATATTTTTAAAAGTTGTATATATTCTAGCTAGTTATGCTATTAAATTAAGACATTTTACATTAAAGGATGGCACTTACAGTGTTTTTATTTGTTTTAAAAAAATAGCTTTATGAATGTAAAAAAATAAAATCTAGTTCAGGGAGAAAATATCGCAACTGCATAAAAAAGGTTATTTCTGACAAATGCAATCCAACATATTGCACAAATATGCACCTTTAGATTAAATATTATTTGAATCATGTTGAATTTATTTTTGATTTTGCATAAGAGCAGTTTTTACACACATTTGTTAATACTGCACTCTACAGTATTAAACCAGTTCTTATGTTTGCAGTGTGTACTTGTTTGCTGTCAGGCATTTATTACAGTTCTGAGAGGATTAAATGATTGCATGGACAAAGCTGTGTTTAGCTTACTGGTGAGTTTAGTGCATCATCTGTCTGTCTTGTTTTGAATGCTCCTGGTTTGGACGTCTCACTGATCTGTTTGTAGACCCTTAAAATATTATACTCATCATGCAGTGCATGAATATTATAATAAATATCAGTGTAAAGCATTTCTTGATTGACTGAAAAGCTCAGTGTGAATATGCATCAGCTAAATGAACAAACTCAGATCTGTTAAGCAGAGCTGTTGGCCTTTGTCTGTTTCTCAGTCACGTTTTCTCAGCTTCCCTCTGTCACCTAAAGATGATTTACCCCCAAACAGATGTTCCGACTCTTACCGTATGTTCTATTTTCTGCCCTTTGAAAGGTTATGAATGAAATGCAAAGCCTCAGTAGTGGTGCCCTCGGCCCGTAATTGCCCGTGTTTGTGCCACTGTTATTTTCTGGCTGAGAGATGGAAAATGTTGAGAAAGCGGAGCGCTGAACCTCTGGGAGCGCTTTGGCTTTGCGCTGGTTGGCGATACGGCATCGGTCCAGTCCTGGAGGAGCTTCTTTCATGTTCCACTGCTCCCTGTAGACTCAACCCCTCCCTGGTCCTGGTTGGGGTTTGTAGGGCAACCTGCTCTCATCACCCCCTGGGGCAGCCTGGGAGGCAGAGAGCCATCGCCATGGTGATCAGAGCACAGAACCTCTGCAAAGCAGTCCATTGTGACTGGTGCGCGTTGAGGTGAGAGGAACAAAATGTCAAAGCAACAGGTTTTTTTCTTTTTGTTGTTTTTGCCTTTAATGCCCGTAGGGGTTTGTTTAGCCTTTGATTCATCTGTGCTGCCGTCTGCTAAACGAGTTGTTTGTGATATCTGTTAATTGCCTCTTTTAAGTCATCCGTTTTGGTGCACGGTAGAAGGCAACGGGAGGAAGTGAAAACAAATGAAAACTGAGTTTGCGTTCAACAATCTAGAGAGATGAGAGAAGCATATTATCATGAGATGGTTACCACCCCGTTAAGATAATTTGTTTTTACAAAACTTTTTTTATTGTATGTGAATTCTTTTTTTTTTTTGTCTTTTAAAATGACTCCGTCAATAAAAATGTCCTCAAGTGTTCAGGAGTATTAGTCAAGTACGAATCTTAGATCATAAGTGAATGCCCAGCGCTCACAAACCAAACGTAGAGTGAGATTCTAGCAAAACTACAGGTTGATTAATTTTACTTGAACTCCCCACTTTAATCTTCTGAATGGGTGTTGAAAAAAGTCTTCTTTTAGCACTGAGCATATGAGATTGGTCGTTCTCCACTAGGGGCAGTAAGAACAAATTAAATCCTGCTGTAGGCTGATGCTGAGAGCCCCTCGCAGAACAGCAAAGTCTTTCAATTACTGAAGAGAAAAAAAAGCTCAAACTTATTTCGTAAAACCTAAGGTACCGCTGAGATTTACCCTTAAACTGAACTGATCTAAGACTTATGCAAAGTACCACATAAATCTCTTCTTATTTAAAGGGATAGTCCACCCAAAAATGAAACTTCTGTCGTCATTTACTCATTATTTACGCGTCATTAAGGGTGAGTAAATGATGACAGAATTACATTTTTTTTGGGTGAACTCCCTTTGATACTGATTTTTTTGCAGAGGCGTGTCATTCTGTACTGGTGGTCATGGCTCACTTTGATACAGAAACATTTTGTAGTACCTATATGCAAGGATTTAAAAAATGTATTAATTTTATTATTTTATTTTTAATTTAGAGAGAAGAATAGGGTTTAAATGCAAACACTT